TCTCTTTTACCTTCTTAATCCAAGAACAAATGCACTTATTTTAAGAAAAAATGACTATCTTGATTTTTTCCAGTGACTGCCGAGGAGAAACTTCCAGTTCAGATTTTTGCAGTTTGACGTTTTTACAGCGTTTTGTTTTGACACAATGGACAGCGGAGGATTAAAACAATCGATCGAAGGTTTTCGCCTTCCGGCTGCAGCAGAAAGGTGTTCTGGTCAGCGAGGTAAAACTCTCCATCAAATGCTGCCTTATCAATGACGACATGAAAGCCGATACCTACTGCCTCCACCTGCTCATCTAGGAGGAGAGAATCTATGACTGGATGCAATCAGCTCCTTTTTCTCCTGATAGAAAATCTTTGACCAATCTGACTGATCTGATTGGTTCGTCTCTGCAAACTTCCTCAATCAGCCAGATAGAAATGAACAGAATCGTTGACTTTATTATCTGCAGGACGACCCGCATCAAACTTGTTCAGGAAATCTATAAATGATCTCTGACTATTGGTGAAGAAGAGCATAAAAACCACATTTGCTGATTTCAGCATAGCTGAGCTGTTGTCTAGGAGTCAGGGCTAACACATCTAGTTCAAACCACTATGCAGGCTGCAGTGAATCAGCCTCCTCACGGTGGGAAAAATACTTTAATTCATTTTAATTTAGAATCTAATTTAGGATAATAAATGGAGAGGAGGTGGACATTTTGAAGGGCGACTAACAGGCGTTCAGATATTTATTTGCAGCTGCATCATACAAATAGTTAAAAAAAATCTTACATTGTGATTTCTGGACTTTATTTTAGATAATGTCTCTCACAGTAGACATACACCTATGATGACAATTCCAGACCCCGTCCTCACCGTTTATTGAGTTTCCTTCTGGCAGGCCTCAGAGCTGCGAGGCGTCTGAGGGAGAGGAATGGTTTTTCATATTAGGGATAAAAATGTCGGCTCTCAGAACAAGCTGGACTGTTTCTTAGGAATTCATAACATTTACAGGTGCTGGTCATAAAATTAGAATATCATTAAAAAGTAAGCTAATTTGAACCCGTTTCTGGCGCTGAGGGGATTTCCTGGATCTTTGCCTCTTATTCAAATCCGTTGGAACTGCAATTCTCTCCCATTTATCCTCATCTACTGGAAATTTGCCCATAATCCATATGTACCCCTGTATGCTGGAGCCAACCTGGATAATTCTCTAGATTACTGACGTCTCAGCTAAATCAAATATCTGGCCATATTTACGAAGCTTCCTCGTAGTTCTTAACGACAGCTCTCCACGTATTACTCCTGCAGAGAGTCTTTTGTTCTCAAGTGGAAAAAAAACCAATCTGTCCCCAGTAGAAACTATTACATCTATATTAATTTAAGATCTAAACTATTCGAGCCACATCAGTCGTTA